TGGAGTCTCCAGCATGAGATAGATGCTCTAGGTGGAATGAAGCATGTGCACCAAAAGACACCAGTTGATACAAAAAATATGAAATTCATTACACCGGAGCGTGAGTTCGCATATATCATGGACCATATAATGCCCATGCATTACTGTACCACTAATAGGCGAAGAACCCGATTCATCGAATCAATCTCCTATCTCCCGTAAAACTGCTCCGACGATACTTTTGCGCGCGCCATACGTACGCATCAACATGTGGATCCGAACATTTCAAGACCAATCTCTGGTCACAGGATTTCAGTTTCACCCATACTTGAGAGGACACCCATTAGCGTAGAGATCTATGTGTACACAAATAATCAGCCGATTTCCACGGGCCATTTAAATTTAGCTTTTTCATTTCCAGCCCTATTCAATAGGCAGGTCGCACCTGCGCGATTGCGTGAAAGGTTTGGGCGCGCTCTCTCAGGGGCCCCCACCCCTGGCGCGCGCTGATGCCATCATGGCATATGTTGAAGCTTTGGGCGAAGCAGGTGCCCAACACCAAGGTTCCCTGGCAGGGAATCCCAGCACCAAGGCGAGGAGATTAGCGACGGAGACGAGACCGATGAAAGATAACATTCTCTATGGGGGGAATTGCTATAGTGAATCAACATTGGTGAAGGACAACTCCACACCTCAAGAAGAACGGTCTACAACAGAAATCACTCCATCAACAGAGTAAAGGCAATCTGCATCCCTAGACGCACACAAGAGGCGCTCTAGGAACCTGCGCTGGTGTCACTATATCGATCACGATGGCGTGCGTTTTTTTCATCCACGTCGACCAAAGTCGGCTCGGATAGTTTGGTTCGGCGGTTCGGGAACCGAACTTCTCCCAAACCCGAACCATGTTCGGCCGGACGTAGGAAATGATGTGGATATTCTCGGGGACAACCTCCCGGAGGTTGTCCGGACCTCATAACCTTAGGGTGACTCGGAGATCCTCCGAGTCACGACGACCCACGCTGAATCCTCCTTCGACCTACGCAGATTTGTTCGCGCACGTGAAAAATTTTTCGCGCGCGGCACAAAACTTTTCCAGAAATTTTTTTTACGGATTGTATAAACAATCACTCACAACATTAAATACCGATACGGAGGGCGCGTCACACAGTGCGTCTCCGTCACACACGTGTATATCATCCGCGGTGCGTCCTCCACCCTTATCCAGGGTGCGTCGTGAAACGACCTGTGCGGGCGAACGTCGCCGCAGCTTTACAGAACCAGACGGCATATGCCGTGTATAATTTCTTTCAACCCAGCCCGCCACTCCCGGGAGCAAGCATCGGTTGGTCGAGCCGGCGTGGAGGGAGAGCCCGTCCACGTCGTGGCCAAACAACTCTGCCCCCGCGGGCGATACCATCACCGCGATAGTCGATCGCACGCAAAGCCATACATCGCCGACAGGTACTGCCGGTACCGTACAGGCGGGTAAGGGCGAGTCGGCATACCGCTCGATGGCTCGTCCTACCCGGTACCGTCCAGGAAGGTTAAGATCCTGATCGACGAAGCAAGTCCGTGGGACTACGGACACACTCCCTGATACGAAGCGGGTCACGATTTATGTGGCAGTCCGGCGTGAATAGCTTCAAGATAGCACAATTCTACCGCCGGACAACACTGGACACCATCGGAAACCGCTACTCCCACGATGTGGCCAAGGTGTGCAAGAGTCGCTATGCCCGCGCGATGGCAACGGGTTGCTACGATCGCTTGCCAGATGCTTCGCCAGTGCATGGCGACCATATCGTACAAGCTACGTGCTTCCCAGAGGTGCTCGTACCACACCTGTGCCGGGGTCTGGTTTGGGGAGCAAGCATCGGTTGGTCGAGCCTGCGCGGCGTCGCATCGCCGGCATGCGCCCGCCGGAGAGCAACGTGCGCGGCGCCAGCAGAGGCGCTCGTCGGACTAACTCGATGCTTCGAGGGCTGGAAGCCACAGACACCTTCTGTCTTCCAGCCCACCAGACCCACGCGCCCAGGAGTGGGATATTTAATAAGTGTTAACTAGTTAACACAAGTTATACAACATATAGAATGTCCAAACAGTTAATGATTAAGGGTGCCCGGATAGGGACTTCGACAAAATGGCATCTGAGTCAGATGATCTGACGGAGTCCCAGTAGGCATCAGCAAAGATATTCCTTTCTGTTTGCTCTATCCACGTTATGAACCACGCAAGTACGACCCTTATCCCACCTTGGAGGAGCATCGCAACTATCATAGTTGCGAATAATAATCTATAATGGATTGATGGATCTTCCCGAAGTCTTCGACCCGGTAGAGGCGCTCATAGGGGATGCGATCCCGCGAGGGTTTATACCGGAGCTAAGCCCTGGGGAGGCCACCGAAGACGGGAGAGACTGCGTCCGACGAGCGGCCATTCCGAAAGGAGAGACCTTCGCAGATGGCGTGAGGATAATCGAGGACTATCGACGCAACAACGTCAAGAAAAAGGCCAACATACCCAATAGCACTCATTGGCCAAACATCAGGAGTTTACGAAGGAAACTGGGAGCCGTCTCAGACAAGTGGCCTTCTGAAGAATTCAAAGACCGGAAGGTTGATCTGCGAGGCGCGTATAGAGCGGTTGGAGTGCATCCAGTCGAGCGGAAGCATCCAAGCTCCGTACAAACAAAACTGGAAGCACCCGATTCTCCGAGGATATTTCTATTACTGGATTCTTCTACTGGAATTTCACCCGTGATATGAAGAACACTAGTGAAAAATATATTTCATGACTACTACATATCGCGAATATCGCGTTTTTCACGGAGTATGACGGCACTTCACGAAGAACGGGCGAAACTCCACTGCTTTCAGCATTTACTATAATCAGTAGTCCTAACCTGTTTTCAGACCTCGTTCTCGAACTGCATTCATCGGAAGGGGTGATATATATCGCAACTTGATATTTTCAAGTCCGGTTCCCAGTTTCACAACTGTTAATGATTTACCTATTCGAATAACACTTCACTGGATATAATTGCAGGGAATGTCGTAAACTGC